GCTGTGAGTTGCATGGACATATAATATCTAACATCAAAATGATACACTTTTGCAGAATTGCAATTTTACCAGCCCACATGGAAATTTTCCAGTCTATTAAGAACCAGAAAAGCAAAGGAAATCAATAATGCCATTAGTAGATCAACATGTTAGATAACAGATAACCATAATCCAGGACATTGCTAATGTTTCCTTGCAAAAAGAAAAGTTTTTAATTGTATATTGATGTGTCTATAGACATTAATAATGGCTAAGACCTCAAAAGTATTTAAAGTCCCAGAAGTAAACTGTTTCAAAGAGCTTTGATCTAAAGAAGAGAAAAAAAAAATCTGAGGATGAAATATTCAGGGCAAATGAAATGGAAATACTTATTAATAATGTACTTACATCTAGCATTTTTTCTGACAGCCCTGATATTCAAGTAATACATTATTTTATTCACAGAGGAGCTCTCTTATGCAGGTGTTTTCCTGCAGTGATGAATTCCAAATTAGTGTCAAAATGGTGACTATAATAAAACCCAAGGTACCGTATAGCCATCCATCTGTTTTCAGTTTATACAAAGAAATTAGACCAGAACACTCCTTTTGTTGTTTGATACTGAAGGGCTTTGGTGATCCAAAAGAAAAACTTAGTAAAAAATTGGAAAATATTGTGTGATTGATTCAACATTGCAGACTGAGTGAAGCAAAGTTCTTGGTTTCCCAACTGGGTTTCTTGTCATTTGAGCACCTGAATGAACATGGTAAACTATGAGCTGCCTAAAAATATATTAACACACACTGACAAAGATGAAAGATTCAAAGCAAAAGTTCAACTCTGTATTTTATTGTTAGAACCTAAAAGAAAAATTGTAAAAATAAAATGAAATCCTTGACAACTTCAGTCTTTTCTCCATTTATTATGATGTTGCTTACTGGTCCAGTTGTGAAGGATTTTTTTTTCTTTATTTTGAGCAATAATCCATACTGAAGACTGTAGTCTTTGTCTTCATCACAAAGTACTTCAAGTCCTTTTCACAAGGTTGTGTCATCTGCATATCACAGGTTGTTGACAAGTCTTCCTCCAATCCTGATGATGTGTTCTTCTTCATATAGTCCAGCTTTTTGGGTTATTTGCTCCACATACAAATTGAATAAGTATGATGATAGGCTGCAACTCTGATGCACACTTTTCCTGATTTTAAACCCTACTGTGTTCTCTTGTTCGGTTGGAAGGACTTTCTCTTGTCTGTGTACAGGTACCACATGAGCACAATGAACTGTACTGGAATTCCCATTCTTTGCAGTGTTATCCATGATTTGTTATGATGCAGCCAGTTGAATGCCATGGAAATAGCAGTTAAGAAATTAAACAGTGTATACATTGGATAAGTCTGCTGTGAAAGACCTCTTTAAAGTAGTAAAAAGCAAAGATGTCACTTTGAGGACTAAAGTGTGCCAGACCCAAGCCATAGCATTTCAGTCACTTCATATGCATGCAAAAGATGGATAATGAGAAGGAAGGCAGAAAAAGATTACATTAATGAATAAAATTGAATACACTATAGATTGCCAGAAGAATGAACAAATCAGTCTTAGAAGAAATACAATCTGAGTACTCTTTAGAAATGAGAAAGGTGAAACTTCATCTTGCTTGCTTAGGAAGGACCAATGCCTGCGAAAGGACATCATGTTTGGTAAAGTTGAGGGTCAGAGTGAATGAAGGAAACCCTGTATTACAGCTTAAATTCTAAAACACTTGGTTTGTGGAAGGCCATGGACTACAGCAGGAGCCCTAACTCCATTTTAAGTCTTGACATAGATTCAGATTCCATTTGCATTTTTATCATTACACCAGGAATATGCTACTTAGACTAGTCTGGAACAAGCCCAAGGAGGTGTGGTTTGCCCTCAGGCTTACACAGAACTAGGAAATTTGCCTGGGCATGTTCTTAATGATTCACTGAAAATAGCTGCATGTTATCTCATTTAAAAGTTAGGATCCTGGTATTATCTTGTAGCCAAGGACCTTGTGGCTATGACTGAAGGTCACATAGTCATTCGTCATACCCGACCCACCACAGAGCCAGGTGGTCTAGCTGCAGAACCAATTCTGTAAGCTCTTTAACCTGCATCTGTGGCCATATCCCAATCATGGTCTTTTCACTGTGTCTGTAGTCTGGACTGCAGCAGTGATGCACATAGAATCAATTATGATCTTGTACTTTTGTTCTCTATCATATATATGAACACAATGGTGCCATCAGGCACTATTGATCTCAAGCTGATAGTTTCCTTCATCCAGATGATTGTCTTTGACCTGTTTAAAGTTTAATAAAAAGATCTCTACAGAATATGTAAGGAGCTCTAGTGGTGCAGTGGTAAAAGCACTTAGCCACTAACCAAAAGGTTGGTAGTTTGAACTCACCAGCAGCTCCGTGGGAGAAAGATGAAGTAGTCTGCTTCTGTGAAGATTTACAGCCTTAGAAACTGGGGAAGTTCTACTCTGTGCTACAGGGTCACTATGGGTAGGAATTGACTCTATGGCAGTGAATTTTTTGGTTTGATAGAATATGTGTGAATCTCGGGTCTTTTCTTCCCCTAACACAGCTTTCAGTGAGCTGGATTGACATATTAGCCACAGCAATGGATTCAAACATACCAACAATCATGAAGATGGCACAGCACTGAGAAGCATTTCCTTCTGTTCTATACAAGGAGCTGACTTAACGGCAGCTAACAACAACATGCCCTAATTTTAAATATACTTTTTTTTTTTTTAACCTAGTGTTTTAGTTACCTAGAGCCTCTCTGACAAGAATATACCACAAATGGAATGTCCTTAACAAACAAGAGTTTATTCTCTTATAGATAGGGAGGCTAGAAGTCAAAGTTCAAAGTGGCTCTAGGGGCTGTGTGAAAGCCCCTCAACCTTGGGCTTCAGCTCTGCCTCCCGCTCCCGGCCCACTGAAGAAGCTAGAGGCATCTCTTCACTCAGGCATATACTGGCTGCTGAGGCTAACAAATAAAATGTCACAATCCCGATATTACCAAACCACACAGCAGGCCATTAACTCAAGTGCATTGAAAATCCCAAGGTCAGCAGAGCATGGCAGGCTGCTGAACAATAACGGCTACATGCAGGGTTCAAGAGTGCCATAAGCTGGAGACCATTCCCAAAGCTGCTGCCTATATACAGGAAGCAGACCACATCCCTAAAGCAGCTACTCAGCTGCTTGTGGTAGATCCCACCATGGAGCTGATTGCCAGTATCATCATGGGGAGTAACTACCACCAGCTACCCAGCCACTCAACCAGGCCCAGCCAAGTTGACACACAAACTTAACCACAACACCCAGTTTCATTAAAATGAAACTATAAATAAAAATTAGAAGTAATTTGTGCCAGAGTTTCTTAGTTTTTTGGTTAACAGACCAAAAGCATATGAGGATTTTTTTCTGCTTTCTTCAAAACTGATCATTTACATGACTATTTATTACTTACAACACTTTCAAAGATGACCTGGAAGCTGTCCTACATGACTCCAGTTTCAGAATGCAGAATCAAGGACTGGAAGAAAACAGACTTGGGACATAGTTGATTTTCACTGGATTGAATTGACAGTGTTCCTTTCCAGTCCTTGTCCAGTACATGCAATTCTTGGATAATATTAGTTATCCAAGAACTAATATTATCAAATAGTAACAATTGATGGTATTATTTTTGTATTTAACCTTTATTTGACTATTCTGAACTCCCATAGAATATTTATAAAGCACGGCTTTGAACAGATTTATTCCTGTCTATCCCCCTCATGAGAATCTGCATTTCCACTGCAGTTGTACTGAATCAGAACCGACATTTTATTAAGATTCGGATTCATTATATATGAGGTGGAAATGCAAATTCTCAACAGGTAGTTGAACTGGAATGAACCAATTCTAAATGCTGCTTTATAAATATTATCTTAAAATCCTAAATATATTTTTAAGGAGCTCTGATGGTGCAGTGGTTAAAGCATGAGGCTGCAAACCAAAAGCTCAGCAGTTAAAACTACCAGCAGCTCTGAGGTTCTGCTTTGATAAAGATTTCCAGCCTTGGAAACCCTATGGGGCAGTGGCTACTCTGTCCTATATGATCACTATGAGTTGGAATTGACTCGATGGCAGTGGGTTTGGTTTGGTTTTGGTCAAATAATATTTTATCAGGTTGTTATACTGTATTTCATATTTGCTTTACTACTGGATATTTACATTGCATACAATATTTCACTGTTATAGCTAAAATTACAAAAAAAAAAGTCTTTGTGCCTGTAGGCAAGTTCTTATTCTAAGTTTTAGACAATCGGCCCTTTCTATTCTCTACTCTGTTTTCTTCTCCTGTACCTATTTCCATATTGCTTTTCACCTTTAATTGAACTACTTCCTGTAACTCATATAGGTGAAGAATGCCTTTGCTGACAGTTGAAAGCAGGATATCTTGAGCTAAACAATTTCTCAATAATAATAATTTTGCATATGATAAGTTGTATATATACTTAGTTTAATCCAAGTCTTGATTCTAAATTTTAAGTAATACAGTTTTCTTAATCTGATCTTTCTCTCTTCTAATTCTGTCACTGTTGTGCAATATGAAACTCTTTTACATTAGTAATGTTGAATTTTTCTGGAGTTACTAATAAATAAAAATTTATTCCTGGATAGCTTTCATATAGGACTATCATGTTTAAAAATCTATAATCTGTTTTACTGTAAAAATTATGTAAGTGAAATTATCAAGCATATTATCAATGTTATGAAATCTTTAAAAAAAAAATCCCCATGTTGTTAAAAAGTAGCTCCACCTTCCTTTTTTCTTAAGTAATTTAATCAACCTAAAAGTACTTTATTGGAATTTTTAAATGTTCAGTAATATTTATTTTCCAGAAATGCTTTATCTCTTTAAAACAAAAAGAAGTGCAGTTGTTTTATTTTGTATTGAATGCTTTATTCATTTGTCCCAATTTTCCTTTATTCATAGAATTGTAAGTTATGAGAACCTCAACAAAAATGACTACTATACTATTAGCCAAAAGGCAGTAACACACATTTATAATGAAGACATTGAATATATCGAACTTAATCGATGGGAACAAGAATATCTGTATCACAGAGAACTCACGAAGATTCCCATATTTTCACTTTTCCGGAAATGGAAAGCTTTTAATGTATGGAAGAAAAATGTCCGCTCCAAGAAAATTACTGGATGTCGAAATTCTCTACAAAAAAATTTGTTCATTGTTAATCCTGTATGTATTTATTATATTTTTAAATAATTACCCACAGAAAAAAAAGTATGAATATATTATAGGTGTTGGTATAGACTGTCCCAAAATAGAATGTTTCAGCTTTTTTAGAGGAATTCATGATTTTCATACTGTCTTCTCAGTTAGGACTCTGACAGTCTAATGGTGTTTCTACTCTTTAGCTAGGGTTGCAAATGCAAAGTATAAGAAAAGAGTTACACAGGGCACCTTTAATTAGAAGCAGCCTCTATGTTTTGGATACATGATCCCCTCTATTGTTGATCAGAGGAGTTGTATATCCTTTTGAACAGGGTAAACTTTACCTCCTCTCATCTGTGACACTCTGGACTTTATGGTTCAAAATGATTTGGGATCTTGTGTTCATAGACCAGTACCTCATAGTATATCATGTATGTTCCTCTACCATGGATTCTGACAGTAGGGAATATTTTAATATTTATTTTGGAGGATGAGGTGATCATAGAAAAGATCTGTTAAAAAGTATATGACTATATTTAAAGTTACCCATTGAATTTCAACTTCCATTAGAAGTTTTCTATTTAGCCCCTGGGAATGAAGTGGAATCACCATTGCTGTCATGTTCAGAATACTGGTTTCTCAGCTGTCTATTTCTATGACATTGAGTCATCACCCTATTAGGTCAGAAGCCTAAAATTTGCTTTTTACTGTTGTATCCTTCACTTTGATTACGTTAATCTGAAAGGCTGTTATCAACATGCCACTAATTCAATAAAGGAATATTTAAGGCCTATGGCTACCATAGCTAAGATATTAGAGCAAAACAAATGCGTAAGATATGCTATCTCAGGTCATCAATCCTGTCCAGCATTCTGAGTGGTGGGTAAATCCAGTTCTTAAACAAAAGAACAAAAGAACTTCCAGACCTCAAATTTCATTAAGGACCTATCAGTCATTTGGAACTATTTTACCTCTTTTTAAAAAAGTTTTAACCACCTTTCATCTTTTACCACATCCTAAACACTATGCATTTCATAAATTTGTTACTAGTTATGTGAAAGTAGTTCTTCCTGGGATTTGTCTTTAAATTTACCTCTATCAATCCTCACGGCTGGTTCTCTTATATTGTATGTTGTTTTCTAAGCCATTCTTACTGGTGATTCTTGGCTTTGATAATATCTTCCCATAAATTTAGTCCTACTAGGTTAGATAGTTAGCATTCTTTAAGCTAGCTAATGCACTTCTGGATGCTTGTGGTTTTCACCGATGTCTCCACTCTGGCTGGCTGTAACCGCAAATGTTTCCTAGCCTGTGTGTGCATCACTGGTTTTTCAGCTCTCAGCTCCTTGCTTGTTCTTTTCCAGGTCGTTTTTTTGCCTGTCCTTATGGAGTTTTCCTCTGCATATGCACAGCTTAATATTCATCCAAAGACCATATGCACTCTAGAGTTCCTTTACTGCAAAGTATATTCTCTCAAAACCCTACCCTGAAAATTCTGTATTCAGTGAACCTGAACTCCAGCTTTTGTCTCTTCAGACCCTCAGACTGATGTCTCTGGGGTTTCCCCTACCTTCACTATAATCCCGAAAGTGTTTCAGGCAGAAAGCCAGGGCTATCGCAGGGCTTACCTCATTCATTTCCCTCTTCTCAGAGACTGCAGTTCCATGTCACCTGTTGCCTAACCTTTGAAATGTTATTTCTTATATTTTGTCTTGACTTATGGTTGCTACAGCAGAGGGGTAGCCCAGTACCAATTGCTCTGTCATGACCAGAAGCAAAAGTCTTATATTCTCTTGTTAAGTACACATTATATATTTGCTCTGAAGTCTTTTTGTTGTTGTTGTTCTCTACTGTATTTTAATAGTTAAGCAGACCAGGCCATGTTTTGTATTTCTTTGTCTTCACCGTTGCTCTTAACTCCTAACAGAGAGTACCTTAGACCTTAGCTAGCATCAGTGCACAGATTCTCAGCAGTGCAACCTGTTCCAATTTTGAGCACCTGAGAAAGGAATTATTTAGAATATAGAGAACTGTGCTCAATAATGAAACTGAAGCAAATGATAGGAGGGAGTGCCTAAAAAAAAACACTTGTAAGGGATTTCAGGAGATTGGCAGAGCCCCTAACCATGGCCCTTTCAATCTTCAAAAAAAAAAAATACACTTGGGATTCTCAACCCATTGCTAAAGTTAGTTGATTGGTTTTCCTGACTCAGAAGATACTAGCATCTAAGACTCTCATCAAAATAGATGAGTTTTCTGTTTCTGTATTGAAAGGTCAAGCCTTTTGGTGGATATTATTTTATATATCTAGTCCCTGCTAAACAATTGCTAGAACTTTTTCGTATTTAGACATGGTTTGATGGTCCTTAGAAGCTGCCAACCAGTAGGTACAGTGGCTACAGTTAAGTTTAACCCAACACTTTTCCAGGACTTTTAGCTGTATATCATAACTTAAGAAGGAAGAATTGACCTAAATAATGGACCCACTGTTGTAGTTTAAATATCTGTTGGGTGGTAAAATCACCCACTCATAAGACCTTTCTTATCATTAGTCTTATATTTACAATTAGTTAAGCCAGAGTAGATGGCTCCCCTAGACAAGTCAGAAGGAAGAAATGTGGAGTTGTCCTTGATGTTTTTCATTTTATGAATTTTTTTATGACCAGTATTATTGGCACTTGTGCCTACTCATCTTTTTATAACAACTCTATTGAGATGTAACTTAAGTACTATACAATTTACCCATGTTTTTAGTATGTTCACTTGCAGTCAGTTCTAACATTTCCAACACTATAAAAAGAAACCCTATTACCCATTAGCAGTCACTCCCCGTTTCCCCAAAGTTCCCAACCCTAAGCAACCACTAATCCATTTTCTATCTCTATAGATTTGCTTGCTATGGACATTTTATATAAATGTATCCCTATACTATGTAGTCTTTTGTGACTGGTTTCTTCCTCATAGCATAATGTTTTCAAGGTTCATCTATATCATAAGAAGTATCTGTACTTCATTCCCTTTTATGATGAGTAATATTCCGTTATGTGGGTATATGACATTTTGTATATCCATTCATAAGTTGATGGACATTTGGATTGTTTTCACTTTTTGCCTATTATGAATAATGCTTCAGTGAACATTGCTGTACAAGTTTTTGTGTGGACATATGGTTTCATTTCTCTTCAGTGTATACCTAAGAGTGGAATATCTAGGTAATGTGGTAGCTCTGTGCTTAACGTTTTGAGAAACTATCAAGCCGTTTGCACATTAGCTGTACTATTTTATTTGACATCCTTACCAACTGTATGAGGGATACAGTTTCTCCAGAGTCTCTCAACATTTGTCTTTTTTATTATAGCCATCCTACTGGTTGTGAAGTGATATCTCACTGTGTTTTGAATTACATTTCCCTATGACTGATGACAGTGAGCATATTACACGTGCTTATTGGCCATTTGTGTATCTTCTTTGGAAAGCTTGCTATTCATATGCTGTGTTTTAATTGGCTTATTTTTTATGGAACTATAATAATTCCTTATATATTCTATATATAAGTCCTTTGTCAGATAATATGATTTATAAAAATTTTCTCTTTATTGATGGTCTCATTTGAAGGACAGAAGTTTTCAATTTTTATGATATAAAAGTTGTCCATTTTTTCATTTTTGCATGTGCTTTTGGATCATAACTAAGAAACTAATGCCTAATTTAAATATTGAAGATTTGCACCTGTATTTCTAAGAGTTTTATAATTTTAGCTCTACGTCTAGGTCTTTGACTGATTTTTAGTTAATTTTCATGTATGGCATGAGGTAAGGGTCCAACTTCATTCTTTGGGACATAGATAGCCAATTGCCCCAGCACCATTTGTTGAAAAGACTACTCTTTCCTCCATTGAATTTTCTTGACACCCTTGTGAAAAATAAATTGACTATATCTGAAATTTCACATCTATTCCATTCGTCCATATGTCTGTTTTTATACCAGTACCACAATGTCCTGGTTACTGTAGCTTGGTAGTAAGTATTTAAATCCGGAAGTGTGAGTTCTCCAACTCTTCTCTTTTTTTTTAAAGATTATTTTGGCTACTGTGGGTTTCTTAAGTTTCCATATGAATTTTAGAATCAATTTGTCAATTTCTGCAAAGAATCCAGTTGAGATTTAGATAGGGATTGCATTGAATTTGTATATCAAATTGGAGAGAATCACCATATTGACAATATTAAGCTTTCTGAGCCATGCATGTCAGATTTTTTCCCCCTATTTAGGTCTTCTTTAATTTCTTTCCACAATGTTTTGTCATTTTCAGAGTAAATTTGTACTTCTTTTGTTAAATTTAATCCTGACTATTTTATTATTTTTGATGCTATTATAAATGATTTTCTTAATTTCACTTTCGGATTGTTTATTACTGCTTTATAGAAATATGATTGTTGTTTGTATAATAATTCTGTAACCTGAAAACTTACTGGAATTGTTTATTGCTCTACTAATTTTGTGTGTGTGTGTGTGTGTGTGGAGTCTTTAGGACTTTCTATATTCGAGATCATGTCATTTGCAAGTAGTTGTTGTTGTTGTTGTTATGTGCTGTCGAGTCAGACCCAACTCATAGCGACCGCTCCTTGGGTTTCTGAGGCAGTATCACTACGGAAGTAGATTGCCCAACCTTCCTTCTGAGGAGTGGCTGGTGGCTTTGAACTGCCAGCCTTCTGGTTAGCAGTCAAGTGCCTTAGGCACTACACTACCAGAGCTCCTTTTGCAAATAGAGATAGTTTAATATTTTCTTTTCCAATATGGAAACCTTTTATTACCTCTTATTCCTAAAGAAACTCCATTACAGTATTAAATAGAAGTGGCTAGAAAGAACATCTTTGTCTTGTTCCTGATCTTAGGAGAAAAGCATCCAGTCTTTCACCATTAATATGTTAGCTGTAGCTTTTTCATAGATGCCTTTAATCAGGTTGAGGAAGTTCCCTTCTATTATTAGTTTGTTGAATATTTTCATCATGAAACTATGTTATTTT